AAAATATTATTGCTAGGTTAATTAAACAGCAATTAAGAATAGGACTACACTACACCAATAGTTACGAGTATATTTACATATTTACAACTTATAAACCTTTTTAGGCTACTTAGTCCTGCTGGCAATAAAGCAGCTTTCGTGTGCCATCTTTAACGATTAGGCATTTCCTAATACATTAACGAAGAGTCTTTACTAATACTTCATAGCGTTTAGGCAATCGTTATTCTATAACTAGTTATATTGTGGAATCCAATAATTTTATATAATTTAATTGATTCAATAAGGTAATTCATGTAATATAGTTATTTTATGAAACAGCGGATGCCACGCTTTAGTGGCAACATAAATAAGGGACGGGTGCGGGCTGAAAGAACTGTTAGTTTTCAGTCAGAGATAGATGAAATAATTTACAGAGTCGTAGCTAGGGTTTTTAGTGCCCAGGGACAACTGAAGATTTCGCGCCCCCTACTGCTTGCCAAGGATGGAAAACATTTAATTCTAAAATGTCGTAACATCAGTTTGGGGCCCCTTGGATTCTGCACCCGGGTACAGATGCCCCCCTCTAGCTACGTACCTGATCATTTAGATCCACTTCCGGTAATTATTAATACAATAGAGCAGAAAAATTGTCTCCTGTCGTTAAGCGAAACCTAACTATTTCATCAGTGATAAGTTTAATGAATTTTCTAACGTAAGAAAAGAAACTGCGATCTTTAACATCTTAAGAATTGAATGAAGTTACAAAAAAGCATTTTATTTATTTATTTATTTATTTACTGAATGATGAAATTAGTGAAAGAATCTAAAACACTTTCACTGACCCAAATGATTTATTTTTCATTGTTATTTACAACAGTACAATAGCATATTTTCTTACAGAGATACTGTATAAAATAATATAGGTAGTTATAAAATTTATTGTCATTTAAATTTGTCTAATCCAGAAGCGAAGGTCTGCATGGAGAAGTTAAGATCGTTCTCTAAAAACATCAATTTCTGACGAAAAATTCGAACAGCTTTTTTTATTTTTATAGAAAATAAAAACAAATTTGGTTGTACAGCACAAGTATATAATAATACAAGAAAAACCATTTGCAGAGTGTTTTCATCTGCAGAAATTATGTCATAAATTTATTTTATTATTCTAATACAAATTTCGTACCAATATATATATATATATTTCCTTGTCCTTAAGGTTAAAAAACTACTAAAAAATACGATGTTAGAAGAAAAATTACATATGGCGCAAAAAACGTTAAATTAAAGTTTAATATTTCCAAAATAATTGATGAATTTACTAGACAGAAATCGTTTTAAATATTCTATTGAAAATTCACCGTTCTTTAATCCTTTATTGGATTTTTAGTGAATCGAAAAATTTTTAACGGCGAAAATCGGACAGAATGTAACTTATCCGGCTCAGTGACCTTTAAGAAACCCTGGGGCAATTCACATGAGTCACAGAATCTTAGCCGTAGTCCCCACGAGGGACAATGGAGAAAGAATAAGAAAGGGGTGCCCCCCAAAAATAACGGATTTCGACAGAACAAATACCTCAGCAACAGGCTTCAAGTAAATTGGAACGCAAAGGAAGGCGATAACACCCAATACGAGTTTTCCTTCAAGTCGTGAAACTGTTATCATTTCTTGAATGAGCTTTAAAATATCGAAGTCTCCAGTCATCTTCCAGAATTTTATAGACAAATAAGTTGACATTTTCGCAATTTATCTCCTTCTCTTAAAAGAGTTTATTTTGTTTTACGGATCTATGAAATCCTGTTTTATATCTCCATGCAGTCACTAATTTCTGACACAACAATGTACATTTCTGATGACTGTACGGAATCTATTCTCAATTGCTTGAAGTTTTAGAAGGTCATTCTCAGTGACAAACGTCCAGGCAGGGTATGCGTAATTCATGAAACAAGCGTATTCGTACACTTGCAGTGTAAATTAAAAACTTTTTTTCAAATTCATCTTTGAATATCTTCCCATTATTGGAAGTTAGTAATTTATCTCTTTTCCAACCTTATTTCTAATATTGTTTATATCATCGTCCATTTACTCTTTAGGATAAATCTTGGCTTTATTGACTAATGGCACCGTTTCATTAAAAAATTTAACTTGCCTCCTAGCCGAAGTTTTGGCTTTCCTCCATATAATTATGAGCAGTTGAGACATTTGAGCGATTACGGGAGTTTTCAGATATTTGTAGCAGTTTTCAATATGTGGCATTCGAACCTGAAAAATTTTGATGGCATGATTTATATTAGCAGATTTAATGGCTAACGCAGGATTATTTGGTTAGCATCCTAGAATATAGATTTATTTTTACTTGTTCTTGGGTCAGTTAGTCCTCAAAAATAAGTATAATAACCAGCCAAATATTGATTCTTGCGGGAGACGCCTGCCTTAATAAATCTGCTATCTGAGCGCTGTTCTCAGTATGCTGCCAAGAATATTTAAATTTCAAGAAATGTTACGACGAGGAGAATTATTTCTCTATCCGTGTTCACATGTATTAATTTGTAAATTAGTTCCTCATCCCAGACGAGTTCACAAAATTTCGCTAGGTCTAACATGAGTAAGGCAGCATTTCTCATTGTATACAATGAAGCACATACATATTAAGTTAATCTTATTTATTCCTTAACAGTTTACAATTTTCTCCTGAAACAGAACTGCTCAATTGGTAATAGTTTAAGATAGAACTGTATTTTGTGCATAATAATTTTTCAAAAACTTTCCATAGATCTGTAGATAAGCTAATTGCTCTGTAATCATCTGACTTGTTGTATCCTTGCTTGGCTTATTAGTATTATTTTGCACGTTTCCCTAAATATGGAAAATAAGAGTCAGTCAAGTAGACATTTATAATGCTGGCTGGTGAATTTGGCTACTACACTATAGGGCAGATTTCTTAATGCAACACTTCAGATTTCATCCTGTCCCGGGTCCTTCTTAATAAAAAGTCTTTTAATAGTATTTTGTACTTCTTTAAGTGATGCAAATTGGATCAGTCACCTTGCCGTAGACGCATTTAATCAGTTCCTAGAGCAGTAGCGTTCTTCGTAAAGTTTAAATCGCTAGAGCAATGGTTTCAAATAGGCGGCCCACACGCCTATTTGAACATGAAGCAGTTTTGTGTGCCCCGCCAGTACCTTTCCGTTATGAATTTGTTCTAAAACAGTTCTGATAGATTTGGATATAGCATAAATTAATATCTGCGTGGATTGCAATGTATTGTTTATTAAGAAAATAGAAAAACAATAGCAAACATTTGAAACATTGACCATCGTATCTCAGCATTAGAGATGTGTTGTTATTGCGCTGTAACTTATCTCACTTGTCTGACAGGAGCATCAGAACAAGCCCACGAAAGTCATCGTGGCAATGAGTGCATGGCTGTGCATGAGTGCCGTTGGCCGAAACCTTGAGCACCATACAGGTGACAATACAATTTCGCTCAGTTCGGGGCCCAGTTTTGATGGAGAGCACTTCAAGGGCACGGGTACAAGGGTGTCCCACGCCTCTTTCCTTAGATTGCAATTTACAATTGCATCTAAAAATCGCTTTCGCTTTAGAATTCTAATTCAACCTTCAAAACAAATAACATAATCAAAGTTTCTTACCTGTCAAACGAGATGTACAATCTAAGATGTACAATATATATTGGTAGTATACTCTGCCAATATAACTTATTTAGTGACATAATAGATGTATGCAGTAATAGTTACAGACTGCAGTTCGGAAAAACTGTATCTGATAATCGAATTTTTTGTACGTTATGAATTAATGAAATGATTTAGAGTTAGGTCACAATGTAGTTCTATGTGAAAAATTAAAGAATAAATTTTTATGCAAAGTCGTGCTAAGCTGATAGTATTTTAAACAAAATTTCAGTAAATAATTTGAAATTGCTCTTCATTGTAACGTTGTCCATGTCCCTTTTTTATTCTTTCTTTAGAATTGTGTTTGGATTAAGAGTAGAGAAAAATTTTGCTGTTCCAATTTTCAGAACCCAACAAAATTCTAATCTTGAGTTAAAATCTATTTTTCTTATAATAAAGACTACAAAATCAGTTTTTGAATTCTGTTTAATTTTATTAAAATCAGTTGTCAATTATGCAATTATAACCAGATAAAAATGGGAAGTTATTAAAAAAAATTTGTAACCGAATAAAATATTTTCAGTGCAGAGTAGAAATATTTAAAAATTGTATAGAGCAGAAACGTACATCTCTCAATACAGTATAACAATAAGTGTACCTAGCGCCAAAGTATCGCTATGGTAAATAAATATAGTGAACTTGAAAAAGTGCATTTATTCTAATTTGGTTTATGCGCTATCGACGAAGTAGATTTAATTCAGAAGTCAATAACTGTTAATTCAAAATGTTTAAAAGAAATGCAGGAAAATTGTGTATAATTTAATTTTCAATACAAGGAACTCATGTGGTGTACACATCAGATTTTTTTAGTGAAGTGAGCTGCAAGGAAATTCTCCAATAGATGAAGTTTTAATATTCATTTTTGGAACATTTTATTTTTGAGCTTCTGAATTGGAATGTGGTAAGAATGTATCTATTTTTCCCTATCCGCTGCGCAATACTGGTGGTGGAGAAACGTAGTTATTAAATGTCATTTTTATATTTTGTATTAGAATAGTTTAGAATTAGAAATTCTTTGTTTCATCTACTGTCTTGAAGCCCCAGGCTGTGCCATTGCTCACGACGCTTCTTCTCGGCCCTGTTGATTCGTTGAAACCGTATTCAATAGTTTCTATTGTTGTCCGAAGTCTAGTCAAAGAATATGTATGTAGACGTTCTTTGCTCTAGTCCCTTCAGACTGATTTTCATTGCCCCAACTTTTGCAACTACAGATTGACGTCAAAGAACGTTTTGTTGACTTCATTGGTTGACTGATTCTCCCGTGAAAATTTGGCCGTTCAAAACAAAATCACTTCCACCTCCTTCCTCAGTATCATCGCTTTGCTCTGCAATTTAGCAGCGCTTTAAGAAACTAAGTGATATAACATTTTGAAATTTTGAAGCAAGTTTTGCATTACTCTTTGATTAAAGGTAAGTGTATCCTGCTTTGAAGCATTTTATTATATTTCTTGTGAATTTTATATAAATATTATTCTAAACATTTTATTTGAATGTCATATTCGTTACCTTTCCAAATAATGAAAATCTGATAATTTTGTAATGATAGTCACCCTATAGCGCAATACGTTTCAAATGAATACTGTATGCAAAATAACCTCTAATTTTCATATCACTCTTCCAACCTTTATGGCAGCAGAGATAAACAAGAGGTTCAAATAATTTTTGATATCTGAAATCAGGTTGTAGGAAATTTTGTTTTCAACATGTATCCACCTGCAGATGAATATTTTCATTTTTGTTATTCATAGGTATTTTACCATTTAATGCTAACTCTGCTGCCTGAAAAATTGGTGTGCTTCCTAAATTTTTTTGCTCGGTGCTTCTCTAAATTCTAAATTTTTGCTGCTTCTAAATTCTGTTGCCTGTGCGACAGTACTTGTTGCAGCGGCGGCCCTGGTTTTACACATATAATTAAATTTTTAAAAATTTTTTATACGTGTATATATTGCATTCTCATGTAGCAGTTATGCTTGCAAGACTGTACTGTTAAGTAGAAGTATTAATTTTTACTGCGTTATTGTTGAAGTAAGAATTGTTATAGTTCAATGAATTTTTATTTCGCTATTTAATAATTTTTTTTTAATTGAAGTTACTGAAAATAATATTTTTTTTAATATAAATAATAATAATTCCTGAAATCCTTTCAATCCGAATAATAAAATAAAGAAACTTTTATTGTTGAAAAGAATTTTTTACGTAGTAACTTTATGTCTTGTTTTAGTGCTGTCTTTTTACTAATGTATCAGATCTCATCATTGATAGAAATAAGGTTCCTAACGTTTAAAACTGAATTTATCCCGATATGCTGCCTATTCATTTGGCAGTTATGCATTCAAGATTGTGTTGTTAAGTGAAAGTAATAAATTATTTTAACTGCCCTGCTGCGAAGTAAGAACTGTTGTTTAATGGAATAATTTTGCGTATTTCGACATTTCATAAAAATAATAATTACTACCTTAAATGAACAGGTTTGAAAGAATGATGAATTTTTATTTCGAATTTCAATAGTACTAGCTCCTGAAGTCTTTTCTACCAGAATGACAAAATATGAGAAAGTAATTTTGACTGTTGGATTTTGTTTTAATTTTGCTTCCATCCTGCAAATTTCGTCAGTGTTACTTCGCTCACATTTCGAACTGCAATTTATAAACCAGTTGAAAGTTTCTGAAATCTGCGTGTTCGGTAAGAAATTGTTAAAGGCTCCCCATTACGCATTTTAATTATAAGGAAAACTATGAATGTTTAATTAGCATCATAGTGACTACTCGATGTATAAATATAATTTCAAAGAAATAAGGACTAAATATTTAGAAGCGCTGCATTAGACATGGTAGAATATCGAGTTATTTTTAATAACATGTTTTCGTCAATCTTTTTATTGTCGTCTTATTTTATGATATCTAATTACTTATTCAAAATTGTAAAACAAGTCTAGAAGCTAGAAATCTTAATTTATGAGTGTGATTACTTTTATTGTATAAGAGCATTTCTATTCATTTAGGAACATTTTGCCTAACAGTGTTGTAATAAAATCTCGAAACTCAATTTTGCGTCGTCAGCTGTAAATGCGATGTTTCACTTTATTTTTATGCTGAAAATTACGTACCTTTTTTCAAAGGAATGTTATTAATTGGAAATTTAACCTTTTTGAATGAGAAATACATAATGAAATATGTATATAAAGATAAATATATGCATTTTTAAATAAATATTCAGTGACACAAACCTTTTTAAGTGAATGTCTTAAGCCCAGGGATAAAATAATAATAATAATAATAATAATAATAATAATATACATGGATTGCTGCTTTGAAAAAGGATGAGAGTTAAATGTGAGTTATTTTTCATGTGTTTTATGAAAACAAACTTTTAGATTATTTATGGGCATAGCATACACAATTGTTTAAGGATCAGCACAAAGAATATCAATTCCCGAAAATAATGGACTTCTTTATCAGGGACTGTATTTCGAATGGTATTTGTGGATAAATCAAGCTTAGAAATTTATTATTAATTTCGAAGTAATTATGTTTCAATTTCGAATAAATAAATTTGTGTTTCTGCTTTTCTTAAGGAATAATTTTGAGATGTTTTAATGCAAAATATGTTATATTAATTTTGAAGCATGTGATCTGTTTTTAAAAGCGAAAAACAAAACATATAGAAATTAAACAATGTGATATCATATCATTGTCAAATTTCCATTTCACATTTTTTGATACAGTGTAATGTTCCTTTATATTAATTAACCAGTTATTTTATGTTTTGGATCTTTACAGTCACTTTTTCTTTCTGTTTTCCCGGCAGAATGCATATTAGTTCGGGTGCTTTTAAGGTGAGGATTTTAGCTTGTAAGGCAAAGCGCGTTCTGCCTCTTGAGGCTGCGTCACTGGGATGATAGATCAGCTAAGATCTGTATTCAATAAGATTTGATTTCAATGTTAATCACGTTATCCTGATGCTAAATATGATGATTAATTTTGATATGAAATTGTATTTTGATCCACATTTAAATTACGTGATTTTATCGCATGAAGCCAAAGAGCTGAGAGGGCTATTAACATTCTATGGAAACTGCGATTATTTTGACAGTTTTCTTGTGAATGTAAGACAAAACTTCTCCGTCAAAACAGAAACGGCTGTCAATGACTGTCAACGTCTGCCAATGAACTAGTCTGTTAAAACAGAAATAAATATATTCAGTGTCCTTTGTTAACCACCCTGCTAATCTAGTTTCCTAAAAAATTCCAGGTTGGAAACATTTGTGCAAAAAAATGTGCTTTATACTTCTAAGCTTGACAGCAAGAATTTGGTATTTTTTGGTATATACATAACATACCCCCCGAAAAAAAAATTTTGTTCTTTTTATACAAATGTAAAAATGTTAATACCTGTAAATTTAAATTGTTTTAGACAGCACCAAGTCGGGAGATAAAATTTTGTTTACTTTCTGGTTCCCCCTCAGCTATTATTTTACGAGTAAACGTATTCGGACGTATTTACGTATTCGAACATAATTAAAATTTTCCTGTGATTTCATGAGTTCCCCCCTCCTTTAACGGCATTTAGATTTTAATCCTTTTTTATTTTGACAGATATTGTGAATTATTAGACTATGTCGAAGCAAACAAGGACAATATGCCTATGGGAATTGATTCCACAATAGACGATTTTCTAAATAAAACTGATTCATGTTAACGTTGCACATGATGAAACCCCGAATTCCAACCATGCATTCCATAATTTCGCCTGGGTTCGAATGCGAATCGAACTAGCAGTAATCAGCAGCCTTACCCAGACAGCCACTGGTGTTTGTTTGGCAGATTTGGAAGAACTGATAAATGTTATTTAATAAATATAATATTAGTAATTGAATCAGATTCAGAAAAACGGGAATACCGGATTCTTTTCTGTCCGGTACATCATTTGAAATTTGCTCTAATGGACTGTACCGATTTCTTATTTCGAGTTCGTCCAAATTTTTAACCTTTGGAATTTTAGGTCTTTTGAATCTAATTCTTCTCATATTAATTTTGGGTAAAAGCTTAGATTCTGCTTTGAATTTGATACCTTTCTGCCTGATAGAAGCATTGAAACCTGTCAGTTACTTCAGACAGTTCTATTTTCGTCCTCAATCAGCATTCCTGTTTTAATGCCTTCCAAGTAGGCAGTTAAACCTGTTGTTTTCTGCCTAACGATCTCCATATTGAGAACAAAAAGCAAAAAGGCTTAAAAGTAAATAATATACAAATAATCCTGCAAGCGGATGGATAATAAATAGAGGGTAAAAGCTTCTCTTACTGCGACCTACGCTAGCCTTGTATTTTGAATGCCCTCTTGCGGTATAGCGACCAGTATACACTTACAAACACCCATGCTTTCTCCGGGTTTCGAATCTACAGTATGGCAGTCACATTATCACGATCTGGATGGTCTCAATTAACGACAGCAACTTTGCTTGACAGACTCAACATTTATGCTTCCATCTGTCTCTGCGGTGTATTTCATGGTGGCTTCGGATGATAATATAACCAAATACAGCACGCTCTGAATCCTGACATAACAAATCCAGTGCAACAATCAGCGCCGTCTGTTGACAGAAGATAATTAAAATGCTCTTCTCAAATCTTTTTAATCCGGCGTTACTCGCGCTGGGCTTCCGAGGCCCGATCAGTTGGTTAACCCGACGTTACTCGCGCTAATCGTACGTACTCAAGATTTCGCGCCGGGCCTGCGAGACCCGTTTATGGATTTATATTTTATGCAGGTCATTAAACACCCCATTAAGCATTTACTAACAACATAATTTAAGACAATATTTAGAGCTCTTATTTTATTCAATATATGTACAATTGGTACATGTTAAAACAGAATGATCTCCAGAGACATCTCTTTCACATTTTGTACATATTATCTTAGATTTCCAGTCCTTTGAACTTCGGCAAATATAGCACCTTTTTCTCTCAATTACTTTCTGTGTTTTAACAGTAGGTTCTTTGCTCTTGGGAGATAGCTTTTCTTGCAAATGTCGACATGAAGACATGGTACAGTGCACCTCTCCGCTGTGTAGTCTTTCAGCAAATCTGTTGCAAGATCTCGCAAAAACTGACTCCGCTTCCTGTGCTGTAAGGATGGATATTTCGAGTATTGGAGTAATACTCAAGCATTGATTGCACCAGTATTTAGCAATGTAAAGAACAGAACCATTTGCCATCTTTTGCTGATTCGTGCAGTTGAATACGCTGCTGACATTTGGTCCACCACATCAACAGCTCCTTTCGTCAAATTATAAAATGTTATTATATCTTTTTTTTTTCTTTTTTCCTCACCTGTTGTTTGGTCAATAGCGTCGTCGTTGTGCATTGTAGATAAGAGGTTAACAAATTTGTTTTTTTCTTAGGAACATACGACACTAAAGTTATGTCTTTCTGGAATGCAAACAAGGATGAATGCACCTTACGATTTTTACTGTTCACAAACTCTTTCGGTATTTCCCTCTTGTTCTTTCTTATGGTGCCCACAGTAATGTTTTTCTGAAGGAGATACTTTGCAAGTTCATAACTAGTATACCAGTTATCGACTGTTACATTTCTCCCAGAATTTAACTTTTCTGTTAACCTTTTGACGACTTCAACTGGTGAATTATTTACATGATACGGGGCTTGGAGCTGAGTACCTGCATAAACTTAAGTTGTAAAGAAAGTTCTTGCATCAACAAAAGTGAAAGTCTTTATTCCATACCTAGCTGGCTTTTTTGGCATGTACTGTCGAAATGAACAGCGTCCTCCAAATGGTTCGACTTTTTCGTCAATTGTAACATATGACCCAGCTGTGTAAAACTTCTGACAGTTATGCACAAATGAGCCAAATACATATTTTATTGGGGCAAATTTGTCCATTTCTTTTCTCATTTGCCTGTTTCTAACACCGTCAAATCTTATGTATCTCATAAGAAACAAAAAACGATTATGAGACATGGTCCTATGAAATATTTCTATTCCCATTCCATCAGTGCGCCATAAATCTCTCACATGCATATGGGATGATTTATGTATACCACATAAATATAGCAATCCAATAAAAGCTTTAATTTCGGAGAGTTTTGTTTTTTTAACATAGCGTTCTCTCTGAAAGTTGTCATTGATAGTGTCAATATATATATTTGTACAGTTGACGATCGTATTCAAGATATTTTCATCAAATAATAAACTCCAAGACTCAAGAGGAGAAGTTATTTTTTTGCCACTCCAACATTTCCAGGCAACTTTGAAATAATATTTCGCAATAAAGTCGAACATTTTGACGAAATTTTGTTTTCTTCCAAATTGTCTTTCCATCTTTTCCAATAAAACAATCACAAACTGAATTAGAATCAATAGCGTCCTCTTCATCAGACTCGATTTCTTCTTCAGACGACGTATTATGCTCACTAAACCTTTCATCGCAATCAGACAATAAATCATCACCTTCGATAGATTCGTCATCAGTCGATACTTCATCTAGCAAATTACGTAATCGTTCCATTTCTTCATCATATGTTAATCTGCGAGCCATGTTGTGCTACGAACTCAGTGCACTTCAAATTCGAAATTAGAAACACGTTTACTCCCGCCGGGCCTAAGTTGCGCCGGGTTCGGAACCGAACAGAATAAAGCAAAATTCCGGAAACTTTGTGTCAAAGGTCACCTTACACTCAGCTAGACCGGGTGTGATCCATTTCAGTATTAAGGGGTAGGGTTTGCATAGTTTTAATAGTTAAAGTAGGGCAAAATGAGGGCCGTTTACAAATAGGCAATACGATTGATCGCTTCCATAAAATTTTGTAATTTTTAGCAATTAAAAACATCTACAAATTCATGAATAGGTGGTGTATTAGCAAAATGAATAGAAGCATGCCAGTGTATTTTTTATATTAAGGCGGAACAGGAAATTTACTTTGGCATCGATTTTGAATAAAATTCACAACGGAAAGGTTCCCTTTGCCTGAAAGGGAATTTATTTCTCAGATTGTTAAATAATATACTTTTCTTAAGATTCTTCTTAGCGGAAGATAGATTGTAAAATGAAGAGTACAACAGTGCTTTATATTAATTTTGTTCCTATTTTTTCCAGATGAACAGCTCAAGACACCTTTCAACATTGCTACTGGCTGTATTCTTTATTGCAACCCTCTGCAGAGGTAAGATTAACAACATTTTGATAGCCTTTAGTACCGGAAAAGAATTCAGTATTCCAAAGGAGTTGTAGTTCAAAGAGTAGAATTCTTATAAATAACATCATGACACTTAAAATCTGTTTTAGCTTTGCATGGAATTTTAATTGCATAGCTGCAATCAATACCCACTATTAGTCATTATTATTATTATTTTTCTTACGCCTCATAGTTTTAAAAAGGACGTAAGAAGAAACTTAGTGCCGTTTTTAGTGTTCTTTTAACCTTAGGCTTACTGCTGTGTACAGTTGATAATATTTATTCATGGTCCTTCTTTATTCCTGTTTCACCATTAAGCTTTTGTTAAATGATTTTTTTATTTTATTCACTAATTTTTTTCACGTTTAGAAAAACTTAAGTAGCTCTGTAATCTGACTCTATTGACCTAGTTTAAATTACCAGCTGATTCCCTTGGGACACTGAGAATTATTGTGCACACAAATTTTTACACTTACATTTTCCAAGAACGGCACCGAAACAAAATAATTAAAAGATTATACAAGTATTCTTCTTACGTATATTTAAATTTTTGAAAAATATAAATTAGAATTCTGTTCGTCAAAATAGAGAATGATCAGAAAAATGTATTCAAAGATTAAAATTTTCAAGCAACGTATAGTAGTTTAATTATTTCTGTTAATTATCTGCATTTGAACTCAAAATTACTCTTCTTTGTTCTGGTAAGCGCATAAAATAAGCATATTGAAGGCCGACAACGTACACTGTGAAGGAACGCATACTGGAATTCATGTCTGTAGTATTCCAGACTTCTGAGCTCGAACATTATACATTAGTTACAACTCAAAACGCACTATTTATATACGGAACAAAAATTGTTTGTTAGATGCGAAGGGACGCAAACACAAATGGAAGACTCCATTATCCTACAGTATGATATCAGGAACTTAGAACCTCCTTTTGAAATGCGAATTGGTTAGCAGGCAGACTAGGAGAGATTGGTCTCAATTATTGGAATCAATAAAGAACTTTTTTCCCTCCATATTCGGCTTCCAGAAACTAGGAAACAATTTCAACAGAGTTCGTTTTGGATATTCAGGCTGCCTACAAGAACTCATTTAAATATGCAGTTCTCTTGTCTTGTTCACGAGGTTGAATTTAATGCGAGAAAAGCATTACTTTTGACCTCGGCCAACTATATCCTCAACTGTGATACCAGATGCTTCTTGATTTCGGGACAGTAACGAACACGCCATTTGCTTTCCTTTGTTAATGATAGATCCAGAAGCAATGACGTCCTTTAAGGACGAAAAATCGAAAATGGCTGAGTCGAACTGCATATTTTTGAAAAAGATGCAATTACTTGTCGTACAGGAATAAGATTTTAAACCTCATATGATTATAAACCTCATATGTTAACCTTCGGATAAACAGGGGTCCTGTTTATCCGAAGATTTCGATCATAGATGACAATTTCGGGTACCTATATCAGAATTTTGAACATTATCCAGGATCTCAAAAGTGTACTTTCAGAAAAGCAGGGCATAATTTCATAAGTTGTTAAAGAATTTGCAAAGTCTGTTAAATCAAGATATGCGGATTGAATTTTTGTCGTAACTGTATTAAAAAGAAGAATTTGTTGTAAAATATAAGTGATTTTTCAGAAATTTTTAATTTTTCTCAAACTTTAATTATTTTACCTCATATTCAGTGTGGAGGAGATGGCTTAGGCTTTCGAAATTCTGTGCTTCAAATGCTTATAGTGTTATCCAGGATCTGAAAAAGTGGACTGTCAGAAAAACAGCGCAAAATTTTACGAGCTGCTAAAGAATTTGGTAAATTATATACAATCAAGGTATGTGGACCGCATTTTTGCCATATCTGGCCCTACATCATATTAAAGAAAAATTTGTTGCAAAACAGGGAAGACGATTTTTCAGAAATGTTGAAATTTTCAACAATCTCAATTTAAATTCAATATTTTCAGTTTAATACTTATTCTTTTCAGTTTCTAGTTAAATAATATTTTTGAATAAATTGTTTTCAGTCATTTTCCAACACGTAACAGGAATTATTTCTGTCAATATATTTAATTTTGGCGAGAGCATAATTTTTTCAATTTGCGGAAGAAATCCAGTTCCTTTTTTAAGAAAAATATGTAAAGTAAATTACTCAAAATATGATATATGATATAATTATCTCCCTATTTACGAATATGCTTTTATAAAATACCTAAACTTACATTTTGTTAGTTAAGAAAGAAATCGAAAGGTTCCCCTTTCACATCTGAACATTCTGAGTTCATCACTTAGGATCCACTTACTATATGTGTTCTGGACAAAAAGAAAAGAAACAGCGACCTTGTTCAAAAGGATCAAATGAAATACATTTACGTATTTTACATAAACATAATTTTTCCATAGTAGCTTGAAACACTTTCCATATTTTTTTTAACATAATGACCTCATTCTGCTTAACAGACTACAGAGAAGAACAGTCCTGTATATGACTATATTTCATTTGTAAAATGTTCCGCACCTCAAAAACATCATGCATGTCGCCACTCCATGGCCCAAGCTTTTCGTCCTTATTTGTAATTTAATCAACTGCTTTGAAGGACTTCGCTTCGGCTTCATTCTTGCAGACTACCGCGAGTGCACTTGTTAATTGTGGTTCAGCTGGAAGCTTTTTTGTGAATTATTCCGCCTCAAGCTAAGAAGCTAGAAATCCAAAGATTCATATTCTGTAGAATTTCCATGCATCAAAGCATCCCAAATGTCCATGAATCATGCACATTGCATTGTGTGCAGCAAAGACTTCTCACTTGCGAATAGCGGAAAGAACGAAAGTACGGCACATGTTTCCTCAAAAGCACAAAGAAATCGGTATGTAAAAATCTAAAGAAATATCAAACCTCTTAATAAAAGTTGATGAAATGGATGCCTAAAAGCTTAATAATATTCTGCTCGATTTTGTATTGAACTTTATCTACAGATTTAAGTTTCGGGTCATTCGTAATATCCTTTCAATGGTTTGCCAGATCAACGCCACCTAGACTACAGTAGTCTAGGTGGCGTTGGCCAGATTCTGCCACAGCAGAAACATTCAGCTGCGGATGCCGAAAATTGCTGCAATTGAGAAAACGCTTGCAGGAATTACAGTTGTCAGTGTAAAAAAACTTGATTTCTCTGAGTACTGATGGAAGTGCAGATAACATATATAACAAGCTACAGTGGTTTCCCAAAAGCGTTCGTACACTTTTAAAATTTGTAGAAAAAGCAATGTAGCCCGGAAATGAATTCGAATACGAAGGGCGGATATTTTTTTTACATCATCTCCATGCAATTTTGAATAAAACTGATCTTTTTTCAACACGGACTTATTTTGTTTTTCTAAAATTGAAAAATACAAGCAGGTATAGATAAAACACGCCTAAAAATTGATTTTGCATTGACACATTTTCGTAAAATTTCATAAATAAAATTATCGTCTGCTACCTTTTTTTTTTTTTTTTTTTTTTTTTTTTTTTAATTTTTGCATTTTGATGATATTAAAAAATTCGCTTGGCTTTATTTGCTTGCTTATTTCGTTAAATTTTATTTATATTTGAAAATTAAAAATGTGTACTTTAAATAATTTTATCAAAAATTTAAAAAAAATTTTAAAAAAGTAGTTGTAAGGAAACAACACATATTGTACGAAAACTGACCGTTTTTCATTATAAGGTAGTCAAATCGATCTGGGATGTCTCTAAATTAGTAAATTTATCACATTCTAAGGTACACTATGAGATAAAATGCTTTAAAGAAAAAATTATATAAAAAATAAAGAAGAGTTCTTTCAATGTAACCAGAGATTATGGTTAGAAAATTTGTGAAAAATCCACGTTTGTGTGCGTGAAGTTTTCTACAGAATTAACTGAAAATTTATTTACTTCAATTCCACCTGAAACTCTCATCGAACATTCATCAGCTGGTTTACATGGGCGCTCTGCGCGAAGAAAACCTTTTATAAGTGCAAAAGGTAGAAAGCTTATTCTTTACTTCCCAAAACCAATGGTAAAATAAGTCCGAAGTGTATTGAACCATTTGTTGCAGATAAAAGCAAATTTAACATTTTTGATTCTGATTGGCATATAATTGTACGGAGAATAAAAAATGAGTATCTAATCTCAAGAAATTGCATGGAAGAGTAAAGAATGGCGGCGGCATAGTCCTTATCTGAGGTGCATGTCAAAATCAGTATTAGATAATTTAGTATTTATTGGCGGCATAATGAACCATGATCTTTATTCAAATATGTTGAAAGATAATTTAAAAGTTATCCGGTCAAAATGTGGGTGTTGGAAATAACTCTATTTTTTCTCAGGATAAGGATCCTAAGCACACGGCCCTGAACGTTCGCGTTTCGTATATCTATACTTCTCCACAAGCTCTGAAAACACCATCTCAGTCTTTAGATTGAAACTCGATTGAACGAATCTCTAGAGAAGTAGAAGAGAATACGAAGACATAACACAGAAACAAAAATAGAGCTGAAAACAGGAACAATAGAGGAACATTGATGCAGATGTTGCCAAAAAAAAAAAAAAAATCTGATGTGTACACCACATGACTTCCTTGTACGGAATATTAAATTACACGCATTTTTTCTTGCATTTTATTTAAACTTATTAGATTGAATTAAACCTACTTCGCCGACAGCGCATAAACCACAATAGAATAAATGCATTCTTTAAAATTCACTTTGTTTACCATAGCGACACTCTGGCGCTAGGTTTACTTAACAATATTATAGTATTTCATTCATATTATAACTCAGAATGCACAAAATGTATATCATTTAAAGAAATTAATCTAATCGTTGCCACATGTTCTATTCAAAATACTATAATAAAGCTAGAACTATGTATAAAAGAAATTAAGCAACAAAACAAAACAAAAAGAAACAGTTTTTACAGACGATTGAGTATTTCTCATTTAATTAATTCAGTTCTCACTTCGCGAGAAGGCAAAAAATACATAAAAACTCAAAATATCTATATTAAAAAATACGAAGTAAATCTCAAACGCTATTTCCTCGAAAAAATTCCAGAAAGAATTAAGCATGATTTAATTGGCAATAATAAATGAATGCGTTATCTTTATTGTTGCGAAGCTAAGTTTCTCTAGATTGGCAACAAATACACTAGTCCCCTGTTTCAAATGTAAACATCAATGGCCGCCATTAAAAACAGGCTTAGCGGCAATTAAACAACTTTAAAATTGCTGATAATTCTAAAAATATTGCACACAGATTTTCTAAAGGCATAAAATCCTTAACCGGAAGATAAAAACAACATAATTCAATAATTTTTAAAGCAAAAAATGTACAATTTACAAACATATAAGAGTAAAGAAACTGAGATTACTGAGCCGGGTAATAGAGTGGATATATATATAAATATATTTATATACGTTTGGTGCGGCCGATTGCAACCAAAATACGAGGTGCACATCTACATGTTATAGCAGTCCTATATACAAAATTTCAACGTTCTGAGGCTACTCGTTTTTGAGTTATGCGAGATACGTACGTACGCACGCACGTACATACGTTCGTACATACGTTCGTACAGACGCCACGAAAAATTGTCTTCAGAATTAATTTTAAAGCAGTTTTATATTTTTTTTGGAGGAACAGAGTATTTTATTCTGTCCTTACGTACAGATATCACGCAGAAACATCGTTAAATTGCATTCGATAGCGGTCAAAATGGATATTTTCGTTGAAATATGGTGCCTGAAACTTTTCACGATTACAATACTTTCTTTTTACTTCATACAAGCTCCACTGCGTGTCATCTGGCATATATCAGCCAATGAGCACAAAGCAAGCTCAAGGCTGTTATTTGTATGTTCTTTAGTTATTTCGTTTACCTTGTCCTGAGTTGTTTGAGTACACGTGCCTTCTGGAATTAGTTTTAGAATATGTCATTGTCTGCGAGAAAGGCGAAATACTGGTGTACATTTCAAAAATTGTACACAGTTGACTTTACTTTCATAATTTCCTCAAGGAAATGTAATAAATTTGAGATATGTACCGCCTGCGTTGCGATTTTTCGATTTCGATGGTAGAAGGGCGAGTGTTCTCAAACATGTGAGTACACAAAAATACAAGGACAACATGAGTTGTTTTGAAAAAAAAAAACGAAAAATTAAATTTTTCTTCAGAAACAAAGGACCAAAACGTTATTAATGCAGAATGTCTGTTCTCTGCCTTTTTCCTCGAGCACAACCTGCAACTGAATGCATCGGATCACGCTGCAGCTTTATTTAGAAAAATGTTTCCCGATAGCCAAATCGCTAAGAAATACTCAAGTGTAAGGACCAAAATAGGTAAATTGTTAAAGAAATGAGTTTGAAAAATAAATCTTTAGTTGATTGCGTTAAAACACTGTTCTGCCTCTTTAGGGATGGAAGCAATAATACCGATTCAAAACTGTATCCAATTGTTGTTTCTTTTTTTTTAATCCAGAGTTTTCAGAAATGGAGTGAAGTTTACTTTCTGTCCCCACTTTAGAAGGACATTCAACAGGCTTTGCACATCTAATTATTAAAACTTATAAACGTGGATGAACACATTGTTGATATTTATTATTATCTTGGAAGGAGTTCTAAAAGGAAGGAAAAATTGAAACAGTTCCAACAGCTGCATAACAGCAGTTTACAATTAGAAAACTTGGATGAAGTTATAAAATCAGCTAGGATTGACACCCAGTGGAGTTTAATTGGAAAACTGAAAGGTGCTGATGGAATTGTAAAATATAGTGAACTATCTAGAATTATGTTGGCCATCTTGACAGTTCCCCATAGTAATGCAGAGTGTGAGAGGATTTTCAGTGTGTTTGCGAAAACGAGGACTAAATTTAGATCTAATATTAGTGATGACACATTAGGAAAACTTTTATTAACGAAAGCAGGCCTACGTGGCAATTGCTGTGAACAAAATTATGAAGTTTCTTTCTTAAAGAAAGCAAAATCTGCCACTGTTTATAACATTTGTAACTGTATTTTTATCATTTAAAAAGTCTTTTTAACATTGTGAAAAATCTCCTGATTTCTTTAAAAAAATCTCCTGATTTTTGAGTGTCATAGGTTGGCAAGTATGCATTTAGAAAGCATAATAAGCAAAAAGAAAATTTCATGATTGGTGCAAAAACAAGATTATATTTAATAAAGGATTGGTTGGATGAAAGGGAAATGCAGGTAGTTTTTAACTCAGTGAAAGTTTTTTTTTGTAACTGCATGTTCATATATATAATTGACAAGTTTCTTCTAAATGATCTATTTCTAAAACGTGCGAAATTGCTGAGATTAACTTGAAATCCAAAGTTTCATTTTCATGTGTTTGTTTCTGATGAGTAATTTAACATCCATTATTGATGAAAAAATATCTTGCGCAAGTGAAAATTCAGTTTTCTACGTTACGAAGTATGTAATTTGAAAGAATTTGCAGATTGACTAATTGATATAGCATGAGAAGAAATTGCAAAACTAAAAGAGTTAAATACAAAATTTTCCTATTATAATGCTTGCTGCTTAAATTTCATTCAAATGGAGCTTGCGAAAGAACTTTTTCTATTATTAAAAATATCAGACTGAGTTTCGACCAAATTTAAATATGAAAACTTTTGAAGCAGTTCTGATTGAAAAGATAAATACGCAGGCACGCAGGCAAATGAAGAATTGTGTTATATATATATATATAATAATAATTTATTTCCTAAACAGTATTGATTACTTGATTATATTATCTCCTAAGTTTAATTAAAGTAGAATTATTTAAAAAGTGTGCATATATATATATATATAAAAAAAATAAAAAAATAAATAAAAAAAAACACATTTTCTAATACAGAGTTTAAGCTAAGCATGCTATATATAAATCTTTACATTCATAACCGATATATGCATTGCAAGTGCATTTGAGATAATTGTATGCATTACAATTGTGTATTTAAAATTTTATTTTTGAAATTTTATTTTCTTGTAGAAATTAGAATTCAGAAAGCTCATAAATATGCATGATATATGGACTCAGATTTCCCTTATCATTATTTCTGATTTAAAATATTTGTTTTTTCATGTTTTAGGGGTTTTAACAAAAGTCTTATTTAATCATTACCAAATTATTTCTAATAAAAATTAAATTATTGTACTTCGAATTTTAGAAGGTTTTCTCAAAAATGATTATAGTTAACTTCTGTAATTTTTATTTCAGGTGAAAATCCAAAATACAGTTTGCTGACATACTTAGACAGCATGAACTGCTCTCTTACACATAAAATGAAGAATAATGGTAAAATGCTACTAACTTCTAATATTAATATTCAGTTAATTGCTATTTTATTTTCCGTTGCTGGTCTCAGATGCATAATTTAACATGTTATATGTATATATATATAAGTAAAATCAAAGGTTAAAGTAAACAATTTAGTCAATCTCAATAAATTGCCCAATACTTGCGCTAAAAACTGCAAAGTAATAAAATAATAATTTATTTTCTAATAGATTATTTTTCTATTAGATTATTATTATCTCCTTTGATAAAGGTAGTTAAAATTCTGTTGAAATTAAGTAACTCATTATCATATTTAAAAATCTGAATCTTGAAACAATTGAAAATGAAAACAAAAGAAAAGGTATAATTAAAATTGAAAATGAAGTCAATAAACCAAGTAATTATCGTCATTGATCAGGAATTAGCTGACATAAAGACATTGAGGGGCATAAAGTAACTTTCAATCAGTTAACAATACTGAATAAGTGAGAACGTGTTTCGTTTTTTCCCACATAAGAATTATGACAAGCTTTTTATTTAGTAAGGTGTATTTAAATTAATTAAGTTGAGCGAGATGAGTTGAAATAAAATTGCTAGTCAGGTTAGATTCCGGCACATTGGAGAAGAACTATAATTATTCCTGTCCTAAAGGAAAATAAGAACAACGGACAGCTAAACAGCTACAGACCCATTTCGTTTACGAGTATTCTTGCGAAAACTATGGAAAGATTTGTGGTAAACCGTTTGAACTGTAACTTGAGAAACGTAGTATTTTAAATGTAGAACGGGCTGGTTTCCGAAAATTCAGCCAATTTATTAAGGATGCGTTGGATGACAGAAACACTTTGACAGCTGTTTATGTTGACGTTGAGGGGGCTTATGATTCTGTCTGGTGGGAAAAGTTCTATACGAAGATCCTCAGTATTGGTGTTTCATCAAAATTATTTAATTTGATTAGGCCTTTCACAAGCCAGAGGACATGCGGGGTAAAGTTTGACGATTCCTTCTCCAAATGTTTTAATTTTCAAACTGGGCTTCCTCGGGGAGCAGTTAGTAGCTGCACCTTTTTTAATATATATGCCAATGATCTAGTTTCTTTTCTTAAATCAACACCTGGTATTAATTGTCTACTATTTGCTGATGATTTGGTAATTTTAGAGTGAGGGTCCAAAACATGGTGCAAAATACCTTATTGAAAGCCGATTAAATAAGGCCCTGAAGGGGCGCTCGAATTAGTGTGAAGAAAATAATATGACTGTAAATATGGAAAAGACAGCTTCACAGTCTTTTTCTCTAAAATTTTCGCCCAGAGTTAACGTGCGAAGTTACATACTTTGATTACCAAAATGGGCAACTTTACTTAATCTGGCAATGACTTTTGATAGTGAAGTAAGTTAGAAGCTTCATGTTGAGCAGCTTATCGAACGTGTTTCAAATAAACTTAGTATTCTTAATCGCCTAGCAAGATGTATTTGGGGGCGCGTTCGGTCCACTCTTAACATTGCATTTAATACTTATATCCTGATTTTAATGACTTATTGTTGTGAAGCTGTCATTACTGCCCCCCCCCACATTCGTTGGTTCATAAAATTTGAAGTGATGCAAAACCAAGCTTTTCTCTTGATAACAAGGAGCTGTGAAGTTCACACGTATCGATGTGATGTTACTGTTGACAGGAAATAAACCCTTCCAGGATATTTTGAAAATGAAGACCTTGTTTTTCTATGAAAAACTACTGTGGACGGAGGATCCTTACTGGAGGGACTACGCAGTCAAGCCTAAGAAATTAATAACCCAGTATGGATTTATTCAAAAAGTGTTAGACGCGGAGAAATATCTTGAGATTCCAGGTAATATACAACCTCTCTTGACAACTAGAAGCCCTTTTGATGAATAATGTCGAAGTAAGGATAGACCTAGTGAGGTGATTAATGTCGAAGTAATGAGATTAATGTCTAAGTAAGAATACCTAGTGGAAATCATTCATAGAAAGAGAGATGTTGCACCAAGAGTTTTGAAATGTCTCTCTCTTTGGAGGCCATTGCGACTAGATATCCACTTATTCAATGGCTGCATATTTTTACTGATTGTTCTCAGTTTGACTGTCATTTTAAGGCTGGAGCTGGTGTGTTTTCAAATCTTTTTTCTTTCTACTCCCCTGCTGGATACATTGGTAGCTCCTTTGATAGTGAAGTAGTAGCCATCTGTATAGCTCTACAACAATTATTTGTTATTCATTAAAAGTTTGCAAAGACAGCCATTTTTTTTTCTGATTCTCATGCAGCCATTCAAACAATTAGTTCTGTTGAACGCCCATTAGCACCTGAGATTTTGCAATGTCAAGAATTCCTGAGAATTCTCATTTTAAACTGGAACAAATCGTTCTCCAGTGGGTGCCTGGCCATCGCGGCCTTTGGGGTAATGAACAAGCGGACTTACTTGCAGAAAGAGGTGCCAGCTTATTAAAACGTCCTAATACAGCCATTTCTTATTGGATAATTAAACCATTTTTAAAATGTTTATTTACGTCTAATATCTTATGAGATCTTCAGACTCGTACAGCCTTAAAAAGTTAGAGAATGATCAGTTCTCTTAATTCCGATAGCCCAAGGTGCAATGCAGTTGCAGCTTTCCGTCTGTCTACAGGACATATTTGTCTTGCTGCCCACCACCAAGGCATAGGCAAGCGATTATATTTGTTCACTTTATAATTCTGGAGAAGAAATGGGCAGGGAACACCTGTTTTGATGTGGGGCTCTTCGTGATCTTACAGAGTGTTGAGCTATTCCCTGGGCCAAGCAAGTCCCTTATCTGGGGATGATCCTGAATAAGTCACTTACATGGTCCCCGCACATTATATTATCCAAAAGTTTTGAGTTCGTAAAGCCAAACTATAGCCCTTAATTGCTCGAAACAGTATATTATGTATTGACAACAAGCTACTCATTTTCAAGTCCATTCTACGTCCACTTTTGTGTCATACAAGTCCAGTTTGGGCATATACCCAGAAAACTAATAGGAAAAGATTGTAAGTCTGCCAAAACACTGTTCTACAACAAATTGTAAATGCTGAATGGTATGTAAGGAATAATAGAATACACGAAGAGTTAGGTACTGAGTTATTGCATACTCATTATTATAACTTAGCCAAAACATTTTATGAAAGGCAGCCAAATATTGACAATCCCAGTATTAAAATTTGCGATTACGACTATAACTGTTTGGAAAATATGTATAGGCCTATCGCCTATGGTATGGATCATGTAATATGCAACTCTAATAATTTGTTATATGTGTTTATTTATGTATTTATTTTCATTTCTCTTATATGCTACACTTCGAATTTTCTGTCTGCATTCTCATTTTTGTGTAAGTTATAGGTATATGTATATAATTATTCCAAGTTCATGTCTTAGTACTTGAAGTTTTACATTTCATAATTCTTAATGAATTCAATTTGCCTATGTTTGCACTACCTCATTCTTGTCACAGTCACCAGTTCCTTGATTTTCTGCTCGCACTAACTTAAGCAGTTGTTGTACAGACATACCATTGTTACACACAGACATACCATTGTTATTAATACGTTAACAAGTATTCCTATCTGACCTTAACAAAATTATTAAAAAAAAAACTATTCGCTTCATCATTCGGTTATTCTATACCACCTTGCGAAATGACCAAATTTTTCTACAAGGGGTAGAGCTTTGGTTCAGGCACCCTGGTGTCTCAAACTCCGTTCTACAGAGAGAGGAAGAGTGTCGAAATACTGGGAAGCAAGAGCGCTCCTTAGGCAATCACTTCGTTCTTTTTGTTTTTAGTTCTAGTGTTTGTAACCTTTATATGTATTATTTTAGTTCTTTGCAATCTTTGCCTAGCCATTGGAAAAAAAAAATTTTGAAGTAAAACTGCTAATTAAAATTCAGTAAGAAATTGGCTGTACAGTCAAGTCTTAAAGTTAATTTTAAAACCGGAATATATTCTTATAAGAGTTTTATTTTCTTACTTGAGTAAAATGCACACCTTTAATCATATTAACGCAATATAGTACATTTTGTGAAAATAATGAACATAATGAAATCCTTGAAAACACAATTAAATAAGGAAAAAGAGGTGAATAAATATATATTCATATAAGACTAAAATTGAATATAAAAAATGTATGAAAAGGAAATTTACATAATTTACCAGAATAACCAGAACATGAATTAATTAATTTACATGTTTGCTAGCAGATACATTTCCGTTACTTTCTGCGTACTCAGGCTGGAATTTGGAAATCGAACTGCGATGAAGAATGGAGGATTAGAGAAAAAGAGCGCGAAACCGGGGACCTGTTGTAATCTATTTTTAGAATGCGGGAGAGAAGCGGTCTTAGAAACTTCGGCAAACTTTTGAGCGTAAGATGCGTCTGTTGAAATTTTGATTTTAAACTAACCAAACAAAAGAAATTAATTAATTTCTGGCTAATTGTCATAGTGGAAAGAGCAACAAAGTACAAGGAATCAGAGCTCTTAAACAGACTGAGAAAATCTGAAATATATCCACTTGTTTAGTAACAGTAATAAAGAAAATATCAGAAATAATGATTTCTACATCATATTCAATAACTACAGTAATTACTCTATTTAGAAGTCTTTTCACTGATATTCATCCAACATATACCGTCTGTTAAAGTTTAGGAATATATTTTCATATACTTATCAGCTAAATGATTTAGATTGCGTATTTAACGCCAGCTCATCTAAGACAAAGATTGATAAAGTTATTCGGTACTTGATTATTTTTAACAATTTTAATACACAGTAGAATTTCGTGTTGTAGATCTATTGTATCTGTACAAATACTTCGAATGCGTTGTATTTGATTTAATATAGTATTATTAATAACCTTCTTTGAAATGTTCGAAGTCCAATTTATTAATTTGTTAGTATTTAAATTGAAGTTCTGTGTTTTGTCAAACAGTCGAATTTTTTTCGATTTAATTATTTGAAGATCATGATAGTCGACTGCATTTT